ACACTGTTTTTGTTTTTTTTTTGTATAATGTTAGAATCTCAATGTGCTTTAAAAATAAAAAATTGCTTTTAGCCCTAGTGGCCTAATGGAAGGGGGGGGGGGGGGGAGAATGACAACAGTCCTAGAAACTCTGAATAACCTTGCTTAAAAATATGCCTCTTTTTAATGCTATTATAATTATTTTTTATGTTTGCAGCTGGTAATATTTCAGTTTATAGTTTGTTGCAGTCATTGGTAACTTAATCTGCTCCTGCAGATTTAAGCTTCATCTTACAGAGAAACTGTCCTTGAGGGAGTAGCCTCAGTTGCCTTCTACTGTGCTTAGTAGCCGTATCTGTACATAACCCTCGAACTCACTAGTAATATCCTGTACTCCAATGCAAGAAAGATGTTCTACTGTGGATCTACTCACTCTGGCACTAACAGGACAATTCATTAACCATTCACCCATGCTCTTTTTCAATATTGGCATTAATATTCTAGCAAATGTTAGATGGTAAATTTATCTGTGTGATCACATTTCTTTACAAATATATATAAAGACAAGAACAAATACCATTTTTTTTCAAACATAGGATAATACAAACTAGAAGTTAAAATCCTTACTTATTCCCTGTTTGGAAACAGTGCAACCATCTACTGCTATATCTGACTTTTGATAAGATAGGTATTTTTGTAAGTATTTAATTTCACTCCCTCTGTAGGATTCACTTTGTGCAGCTTTACACTGCCTAAGAGTGAGACATCAACTCCATGTCCCCTTCATGATGACTGGGGAGACCCAGCACATCCAGTGGGCACGAGACCCATCCTTTGGCCCTTCTGTCTCATACTTTGTTCTGGATTCCTCCTGCAGAATTTTAAAATGTTCAAGTTAGTCCTCTAACATATGCTAGTTTCCCATGACCTCTATAATTAGAGAGAGTTAGACCTCTAATAATGATTCATCCCATTTATTTTAAATGCACCTACTAAATTTGTCTGAATTGCACTCTAGAGGTGATGCTTCACATTAGTTATGACAAAGCTTTGACTTTGCATTTAAGTGGAAGTTGGCTAAATTTAGTTGAGAAAAATCCCATCCTAAATAAAACTGCTTTTGCCATTACTGAAGTGTCTCTAAAAGCCAGGTTTTCATCATAAGGTGTAGGTGTGATGTTTTTCACATGCTTACCTCAGAATAATGTATCTTTGCTCCAGTAATTTCTTAGATAATTTACTCTGGAAGTTGGAGCAATAACCTTTTTGTAATCCACTCACACTGTGTATTAATTTACAACTTGAGAATTGTACCAGGAAGATTGCAGCACCTTTATTCTTTACAAGGTTCTTCCTGTACAGATGTAAATTAAATTTTCTCACTATAAATTTTAAATGTCAGCAGATTCTTCTTCTTCCTCTACCCCCATCCCCACCCTGGTAAAGCAAATTAGTATAATCTCTATTATTGTCTTACAAACAGCCCTATTGATTTTTAGTTATTTTTTTTCATTCAGTGTATTATGCATATTTTTTCTTTGGTTGTATTTTGTGTATTTGCAAACATAAACCCATGTATGTATAGAGCTCATGTTCGTCAACAGAGATTGGATGTCACTCTAAAACAATGTAATGATTTCTGCACAAAAATATGACTAGTCAATTTTTTTTTCATAATGTAGTATGCAAAGTACATGTACATAAGGTCTACAATATAAAATTGCTCAAAACCTAAATGTTTAATTTGTATAACTAATCTAATTGCTTTTTATTAAGGTAAGCAGCTTCTCCAAATGAAAAGTGTATCTAAATCACTAAGCATTCTGTAGGCATTTTGTAAACAGGAAGAGCTATCAGTCCTTACCAGTCATGGAATGTAATATTAATTATATATTGGATACAGTTTTGCTACAGGTATTGCAGCAGCAGTGCTAGTAAACTACTAGACAACAATGGTTTAGAATGGGTTTTTTGAAACTTCTGTGACCAGTTCTTAAAGGATCATTGTCTATTAGATAAGGTAAAAGACAGAAAAGGCTACTTTCCTCTTCAGATACATTACTGGAAGGAAAGAAATCCCCTCAAATATTGAATAGAACATCAAACTAAAACCAAAGAGGTTTTTTTACAGTATTCTAGTAGAACAGACAGATTTATCACTGTACTGAGTTACTGAAGTGAGACTTTTTAAAAAAACGTGTCACAAATGTGTTATTACAGGGTGGAACCAGAGGGATGAAGTCCAGAATTTATATTAATGGATTTCTCAGGGAAGATTAATATTTTTGGCTAAAAAAATTAACTATTTTCTCATAAATACATTTTGATTTCAAACACACTATCCAAATCATGTCTTGACTAAGGTTATTCCCATTGTGCCATGCTTTTTTTTCCCCAAAATAGTAACATTGTTCATATTTGTCTATAATTAATTACTCAAAATGGAATTATAAATATGATATGCACCTGAACTCATACTGAGTATATTGCAAAAATATCATCATAGGAAAGAAAATTTTAAAAAGATCCCAATGGCTTAGCTACTGTATGAAATATTTTCCCTGGTATTTAAGAAATCCTTCTTATAAAGGAATTGAAACTATTTGTTTCTCACAAATAGAATATACATGAAACCCATATTTATCTCCTAAATAAGGATAGCAAGTTATATATAATGACAATAAGGTATCTCCTTATTGTGTTACAGGTTTGTACTACAAAAGGAAGATATTTGCTCTGTATTTTGTTAATTTTAATGAGGAAGCGCACAACATTACTTCATTTGTCTTCCTCCATGTGTAACCATAGTGCTTGAACACTAACTGGCACAACTGATCCCTGGCTTATTGCCAAAAAAAACCTGGAGTAGTAAGAATCACCGCCATTATCATCTGGGACTTAAAGGGAGACAGGGTTCAATGAAAGAGCCAGCAAAAAGGATCATGTCTCAAAACAGCAATCTGAGCTCTTAGAACACTTCAAAAGGAAAGACTTTTTTTTTTTTTTTTTTTTTTTTTTTCTGTTAGCCACTGTCAATTACAAACTTTACACACACAGGTCTGTTTACCTAACTTCATGATAAAACAGGTATTTCAAGTCATCCAGGCTTAGTGTTGCGAACATTTACTTGTTACACAGATACACCCAAAGAAAAGTCCTTGCCCAGTCCTTTCAAATCACATATCCCACACCACTTACATCACACATTATAACAGGAGAGATATGATGAGGGTGGGGAGTTACATTTCCTGGGGCTCCCCCCTCTTGGCCTGCTGATCCCCATTACCCATGAGGACCAGACTGAGTATAAGTGGATATGCTTTATGTTGCTGTTTGTATTATTTTTCTTATTTAATTACATCCATTGATATTTCAAACCACAGAGATTCTCTTCTATCCCTGATTCCACATCTTGGATGGGGAGGGATCATTGGGTGAGAGATCAAACTTCTTCAGTTTAGCCCTGGATACGGGCTGAATGAAGACAAAACTAACAGAACTATCCAGTCTCATACATTTATTTTCACTACATTTTTGCTATCTTCTTGCTATAAATTGTATTATATAATTTCTTAAGTCTGAAAAGAGGTTGTAAGCCATTTATTCAGTGAAAACAAGAACATAGGCATGAGGATCACCAATCACCTGCAGTGAAGATTCAGAAAAAGAAAACCCCACTGAGAAAGAGATCTTGGCTTCATGTTCAGATCACTAAGGGTATAGTAAAATCAGCTGCAACCCACCCCTTGTATCTCAGCACCTTCATTTGTAATTCACAGGTTTAGTTGCAAGTACCAAAAAAAGCAACTGAGGTACCAGAAACAGAACAAAATTCTAGTTCTCCCAGGTCACTAGAGACTCTGCTAAATCAATGGGATTGTCTCCAGTGAGATCAGAAACAGAGTTAAGATTATCTATGGAGTCCATACTGCGGCAGAATTTAATGAGGATTTTTATTTATATTTATTAGAAAATACAAAAAGAAAACCAGAGTCCCATTTAGGATCAACAACATGTTGCCATTCTGAGCTATGTTTAAAAGCATGGTTGTTGGTGATACAAATAGGAATTGCAAGACACTATCAGAGAATCAAGGCAATGGTTTGGCAGCTAGAATTAATAGCATTTTGTGACTAACTCAGTACACCCACATCCACAATGTCAGGAAGGACCTGCCTGCCATCAGCAGGGATCTGAACAGCAGCACACAATTTGTATTCAGAGCAATGACAGGAAGCTCAGTCTTGTGCTCATGGCAGAGGAAGTCCAGCCCCTCCTCGTGGAAGACGAGGGTACAAAGAGAGGACGAGCTGTCCAGAAGCTGCAGCAGAGACCTGACAGGAGAAAGGACAGTAACGTGGAAGGCTGAGCTAGGATGCATCAGAGAGGTTTTTGGAAGGTAGCTGTGGGTAAAGTGGTGATTTGTGAGCTGTGAGCTTCACAAAGTGGGAGCTGTGGAGAGCTCCTGAAGTGGACAGATTACCACAAAGGTGCGCCAAGCACATCCTGGGAGAGGATGAAGGAAATGTGAAAAGGTGGGATGTTAAGAGGCACAAATCCTGTTTAGGCACTGCCTGCAAATCCGAAATCCAGGGCATCTTCCATAACTCAGCAACTGGAAAACTTTGAATGCAACTATTGTGCATCCTGGACATTTCATTCACAGAGTTAGCCACAGTAAAGAGGTTTAAAAAAGCTATAAATAAGAGTTTGATGTCAGAATGTAAGAAAATAACAGAAGAAAATGCTGATTTTGGCCCTCTTTAAAATTTCAGTAAAAATTTAAATTTTTCTGGGGACAAACTTCTGTTCATGGTAGATTGATTTTAATGAGTTGTATTTGGTTGATAAGCTTACAATGTCTGTTCTCAAATTATCTCTGTCACTTGAGATGCCACATATAGTACAGAAATGTGTAAGATTTTCACATTAAAATCAGAATAGTCTCCCTGACTTGAAAGTACTTGCTATTGCTACTATCACAAAGAAAAGTGAAATAGGTGAAAAAAATCATACTTTACCTGCCCATACTTTGCAGCTAAATGTAGGGGTGTCCAATACTGATTATCCACTACATTGAGATCAGCCCCATGTTCCAGTATCAGAGATGCAACATTCTTGTATCCATTAGCACAGGCCACGTGCAGCTGCAATATAAAATTATCTTAATAGCTTAACAAACTCAGAAAAACCCATGATATGCTATTAAGTTATCCCTGGTTGCCCTGCAGACTTAACAGGCTAAATCACAATAACAACAAATACAAATTACACAGGCAATAACAACAGACTAGAAAACTTGGGTGCCATTTTTTTTTTTTTTACATTTAGAAACAAAATCCACCAAAAAAAAAGAATGTTAGCTTATTGAGGACTATTTAAATGATCTAGTCTCATTAGATACTTTTCATACCATTTCAAGCAAATACCCTTTCAAACACACTGACAAACTTCATGAACCCAGGTAGATTCCCACATTTCAGCAGTTAGGCCTAGACCTAATTTTCTTTTCTAGCAGTCTGAATATCCCAGATGTAAGCTGTCCAAAATGAATTTATTAACACATAATCAAACCATGCACTCTGAGTTTGCAGCACAAAATCAGTCACAAAAAATACTTTCTCAATTTTGAACTGCAGAGATCTTATTTCTTTTACTTCCATTGCTTCCCTAGATACTTCATTTTATGTTGAGACAAATACTTCACATAACCAGATATATCTGGTTAGCTTAGTGGTGTTTAATTTCTCATGGTTCTCTGCTATGATTCCAAGTATTCCCTCCACATCTAGGAGCAAGGGAGATAACACTCCATTTGGAAATTGTCACAATATAATTGCTTATCCCCATCAGAACGAGTCAGTACTCATGATGATCAGTAAGAGCAGGGCTCAGGAAGACTGCAGAAATTGAGAACTGAGATTATGGGTGGTAACCTATATCCCTAAATCATGCAGCCCAAGGTGATGAATTTTTTTCCTTTGAAGCAATGTTATCTGAAGAGACTGTTTTTCTGAGGACTGAAATGAATGGCGAGTGGCAAGAAAAAAGTCTTGCAATAAACCTGTTACTAGAGCCATGCAGTTTCAAAGTCACTATAAGTATAGGAGACACCAAGAATAGAGTTCAAGATGTTAATTGCCTTATTTGCTATTTCTGGTTCAGCTGCACCTGCAGTGCATGCACAAAGTTTACTAATATCCTTGACGCAGAGAGAAACACATTACAGGTCATCAAAAATCATCTCATGGAAAGGGGGCAGAACAGCTGTGCACTGAGGGCACAACACCAATTCAGTACATTATAAATGTTTTCATTTCAAACGTACAAAACCCTTAACAATTCCCTTAATCTGAGATAGCTTCAGCTTTTCTTCTGACAGAAGAAATTACATTTTTTTATTCAGACATCCATTTGACAAGTGCTATTTTAAAGTAGTTTATAAGCTTACATGACAAAGGAAGTATTTTATGAGAGAAATTTCTTAAAGAAAAAAATATTACAGAAGAATTTAGCAGAAGAAATAATTTTTCCTTATATCATTCTTTGTCTATTGCATGTACATATCTCTATGAGTTATGACTCTATGAGAATGTGTGTATTTTTACATTTATGGCATCAAAGTTTTCCCTGACGTCTTAAATTACGTATGGTCTATGATATAGTCTATCAAGAGAAAACAAATCTCACTTGCTATGTCCAACTGAGATATTTGTTGTTTTCTCTGTACAGAGAGATGTAGAGCAACCAAAAAACCTATTCCCAGAACCCTTTGATCCACATACAGCTATCACAGACTGGCTGACTCCACACTCATGAATAGAGACAGAGCAGTTTAACAAATTCTGGATTTCCCACCAGTTTGTTAGACAAAAGTTTCACATAATAGAAATCTCAAACAAAAGCAAAATTATCTACTCAGTAGCTACTTGTTGCAAGGCTATGAAAGAAGTTCAAAAAAATCAAAGTTCAACATAAGAAGTGTTCATGCAAAAACACCCCCTCTGCCTATATCCCACTGAGTAAAAAACAAACCCCAAATGATCCACAGTGTTTTCCTAAGAGCTGCAGCACTGTTAGATGCATTTCAGACATCCACTTCCATTATTCCAGCTAACTACAGAAAAGGTTTTATGCAATAATAGTTAGGTAAGTTCATAAGTCAATGTACCTAAATCAATTCAGATTAAAGTAGCAATAATAGTACAAGAGAAACAACTTCTTACTTAGTTCAGATTTAGCAGCTTGTCTTAATTGCATCAGAAAACTGGAAGTTAATGCTTTTTTGAAGTAAACTAAAAGTTGCATTGTTTCTGCCACAGTTCTAAACTACAGTGCCAATATTTTTCTTTGCTATTAATTTGTGTGTTACGTATTCAATGACTAACAGTAAGAAAGTTGTCATTAAGGCAAAGATGTTGCACTAGATTTAAAATCTGTGCTATGCATGGCATCGATACACATCTATTTTCAAAAAGCCAGATGAGAAGCAAAATCTTGCACTCCTTCATTTCTCCTCTGAGAAACGGCCTTGCAACCATGCTCATCAGTACCCAGTTGCAGTACATACATATTCACGGGTGATGATTACATATTCTCACTCACCAGGGTAACTCCTTCATCATTCTTTTGATTCACACTTCCTCCACTTGCTATGAGCTGTCGGACATCTGTAAGCATTGTCATAGGTCTCTGTATTTTCATTTGGCGCAATGAATTCAGTTCCACGCCTGGAAAAAAAGAAAAGGCTAAAATCATTCTGCTATTTTATTCATCAATAAAGGACACATATATGATTTTGTTCTCTGGATTTGTAAAAGCTTCATCAACATTTAATAAGACTTCTGTGTATATTTATAGAAGATGTTTAGTTACTTGTATTTACCAACAAGTTTACTTATATCTTCATTTATCAGTCACTACATGGATGATTCAATGTCAGTCAGCAATATCCCCTAATGACTGGCAAGAGCAGTTGTAGGTAAAGTAGTTGTAATATCATAAAATCCACCGGGATTGTGAAAATAGCCGTGAATGGGAAAAGAATTCAACCCTCTAAGGAAGCTACTCAAGTCTTTGGCTCTTACTGAATGAAAATTATTTTTGGCTGCATTCTTTCAGCCCTGTGTGTGCATCACAGTGTTTGGACCAGTCCCTCAAATCTGTCAGTTCAACTGCTTGAGAGATTGTAAAGTTAAGCAAATGACATTACAACTCAAAACTTTCTTGTCTGCCTAGGTTATTTTTAACCAGGATTTAGTTCTCCAGCTGAGCTTAGGTTGTTGTAAGGCCCCATATACCAAGAGAAAATGTGGTACACATACAGGAACAAATGGGAGGGGATGAAAGGAATTAAGGGAGTGGGATTGCTTGTCAGCATTGCTACTGAAAGAAACAGCTGTCAAAGTACAGCTTTAAAAGCAGGATAAGCAAGGCAGCCTATAAACAAAAGAAAGCATGGCCTCCAGTCTGAAGAGACTTAAAATTAGAAACAGAAGGTACAACAAAATTGCTAAGTGGTTAAATTAACAACTGGCTGTGGCTTGATTGGAATACCTAACCAAAATTCAGGGCTTGATTCTTCTGCTCCTAGCTTCAAGTGGTCACTTACATCCATATACAGAAAATGTAATTTAAGTATAAAAATTCTTGCTCTCTGAACTGGCATAACATAACAAAAACCATATTAATAGTTTCTTGGTTCTCTTCCACATTTGTCAGTGAGCAGAAAAGTAACAATAAATTAATTTAATATGTATTTGGTACAAATATTTTTGCTTGAACAATTATTTTTACATTTTTTTTCTTAAGCAATTAAAGCATGTTTCAGAGTAAAAACATATTTTAAGGCTCTTAGTTTTAATCTATCCTGGAACTCTTATAAATGGGTGTACTATAAGTAGTTCAGCAAAGAATCTCATCAATTTTATTTATCTAACATGCTACCCTACGCACTGCTTTATGTTCTGAATTTTATTTGGCTGCAGTACTTCTACATGTTTCAGCTTTGAGGTAAAATATTCAGTATGAACACTGTCTTGCTGGCCACATTTAGTTATTCTCATGTAAACAATACTGAATGACACCAAATGTAAAACATATATAAACCTATGCTGGAGAAAATGAGTTAGGTTTTGTATCTGGACTAAACCCCATGATCTTTCACATAAATGTAATTCAGATAAACATGTATTGATAGCTTAAAATAGATAATGATGAAAAAAGTAAAATGTGCTGACATCCTATTGCCTGACAGTTGCTTGACTGGAATACAATGTGGATTTCATATCATGTTCTGAGTTCTTTCTAACAGTGTATTCATTTTGCCAGAAATGAAGTTTTTATGCCTGCATCACATTTCACAGGAATTACTTAAAACTACGTGATGACATTTACAGATAACTGATGATACATGGCCATAATTATATATATATTTTTTTTCTTTCTGTTTCTGCCTATTTTCTGATTTTTGCAACAGTAAATTGATACTTCAACATTCTTTTGTCAGTCACAGATCACTTTGAAATGTGTAAGCTTATATTTTCAAACCAGTATGTGATGTGAAGGGCTACATGCACCCCAAATTTGCAGCATTGACTTCACTTTTTAAACACATAGAGCAGCTGAAACAAAACTTGACTGGTAATGGTAAAGCTCCTTCTGACGTTGTAAGGTAAGAAAGATTAAAGTTACAAAATACATTTATAATTTAAAATTTTATGAAGAAGGATATTCTTAAGTACTATTGACAGAATCCATGTCAATTTCTTTCTTCCTCTTGATGATTCTAATATACAATTAGATTAAGTTTTCATTTTCAAGGAGAGAGGCATAAGGTGGAAAATATTGTACTACCTCCTTTGCATGTGAATACCCCAAACACTCAAAAATGGAAATCAAGTTCAAGGGGGGGGCGGGGGAGGGCAGGGAGAAAGACAGATTGAAACAGTTTCAGGTTGTTTGGTTCATCATGCTTCATGTAAATTACAGTAATGGCTGTAGATTGAGGGCAGAAGCCAGCTGAGTCCAGGCAGCCTTTTTTTAGCAATTTATTACTGACTTATGCTCAGAATGGTCAGAGAATTAACTTATCAGTATATTTTTACACTAACAGTGAAATAATGATCTTTATACCTTCTACTTTGCATTTTATAGAACCTTGGTGTGTCCTGTATGGGGCCCAAAAAAACTTGGCTATTGAAAGATTAATTTATTAATTTTATTCATTCTGAAAGAGGAATCAAGAATAGAGTTCAGCTGTATCAATTGCAGTATATGTTGTATCACCAATATAGTTAGACTCATCAGCTCAGAAAAAATACATAAATGATGCCCTATAGCAAAAGTCATGAAGCCTCTGTTTATGAGAATTCTAAGATGTCTTTACCTGTTTCAAACTAATAGTTATATAAAGGAATGACACAAATTTCATTAAACAAAGAGCAGTAAATAGCCTGGCAAGTGAGCTACCACCGTGACATGTTCCACAGGCTTCGTTTTTTGGAAGTCTAAAGAAGTTTTGAAAATGTTACAGAAACAAAAGAGATTCCCTTCCTCTGTCTTTATAGAAAATAGAATGAAAACAGGAAAGAATAATTGCAATAAATTGTAATCTTAAAATTGTGGAGTTTTGATTTCTGAGAACCCAGGAACTGTTAGGCTTCAAAGTGAAGGGTTCTCTGGCAGGGAGCTGAGAAGTGGCTTTACCAAGTGTGCACATGTATCACTCTCTGAAGCTCAGAGGAGATCTGGTCAGTAACTGCCTTCCCTTAATCAAGTTTATAATTCTGGAGAGTCTGCTTTTCCTCCCCAGGGAATGATACTTTTCATTAGTTTAGCTGGAATGACAAAATGTTACTCATACAGTAAGTAACTCTTGCTGCCTGAATGAAAGAATGACCTTAATGTTGCTTTTTCAAAGAGGAAATGTGGTTTAGATATTCAGCTGAAATGGGACAGGAGCCAGTATGAATAAATAGAAGAATAAAAACAAATTGGCATGTACTATGGGAACAGTTTCACATTTTCAAAGATGGATATTCAAAAAGAAAGGCATAGGATGGAAAATATGTTTCAAATACCCTATAAAATCAGAATATGAGCTACATGTTCACAAATTCTGATGGAGAAGGAACAGTTAAAACAGTAGTGACTCTGAAGGGCACAGAATTTGCTTCTGAGTATCAGTGCTAGTGACAGGCAGGAGCATAACCTGAAAGCTACAAAATGTATTACTTCTCACTGTTTAAGAAGAATACCTGACAAGGCCATTTCATGTGCTTGGCTCTCTCACCCTTTCTGGCACGTGGTTATAGAACTGACAACAGAAAACAATGTAAAAACCTCAGATGAAAAGAGAGAAAGCAACTTTCAAAAAGCTGCAGTGGTAAAAAAATGCATGGCAAAAAGAACTGAGAATTCACATTAAAATATTTTTCTCAGAAATATTAATTACTAAGAAGTTTCTCCATCTGTGAGGGAAATACCCATTCCTGTGTCCATCACAAAACAAAACGCTCAAGCACTTTTGGGAAACACATGCTACATACACCCAGCAGCCACTCTTTCTATAACTTGCACCTTTTAGGAGAGGTCAGTATCATGTCTTACAAACACAAAGGTAACTTAAAAACTTGTGACAGCTTTGAGAAGCCAATCTCTTCTCTTACTGAAGTCTTTGTGAGAGAGCAGTAAAAGCAGACTATACAACATGTGCCAGGAAACCAGGAGCTGAGGGTGAATGCAGGCCAGACAGGGCAGTGTCTTTTCTGACCAAGGCACAGTCCCATAGTACCCCAACAAGAAAACTGAGCAGGTCTGCTGATAGGAATCAGAGCCACCAGGTAGTCCTGTGGTTGCCAGGAGTGAAGCCAGAAAGTCAAGACAGTGGTTCAGGCCTAGGATCAGTAATATTCATGGCTAGGCATAGGCATAATGCAAGCAAGGACTAAGAGCAAGAACCTGAGCCTAAATGTGTCTCCCAAGCCAAAGGATGAGTGAAAGATCATGACAAGGCTTCTCCCATCTCTGCCTCACAATTTGGCTCTTTTCTCAGCTGAGTGCTCCCAGGTTACATGGCTGTACCATATCAGAGCTGGATTTGAGCACAGGCAGCCAAGCCCCTGGATGTGGGGAGACAGGTCATAGGGCCTGTGGGTGCATGCTGGCATTAACAAATTTTATTTCTAACTTGTTAAAAATTGTATTTTAGTAATTCTGTAAAACATGATAATTTATTTCTGACAGTAACAGAATTAGATTATTCATCAGTAAGTTGTTTGAAAGGACACTAAAAGGGCAACTCTAGTTTCTGATGTTATTCACAACCTTTTCTCAAAGCTTTGCAAACACTATTAGTCAAGGAGTTGCCTGTTTTCCATCTAACAAAGTAGATTCTAAACTACTGGCTATAACCAGAAATGTTAACTCAAGTGCCAAAAGTCTGCACAGTGAGTTTAAAGGCTTTCTCTTTGATAGAAATATAAGGGTAACAAAATGTTTCCATATGATGGACTTTTTTCTTTCATTCACTTTTTACTGCACACACAATTGCATCGTGGAAACACACAAAAAGCAAGAGAAGTTTAAGACCTCAAAGGCAGTCTGCCAAGAGTTAGAAAATACAAAAAATAAGGTAATCTGTTCAAGCTTATATTGGAAAACAAAGGCCAAAGGAAGACAGATGAGCACTCTCACCTACATTGTGTCATGTGTCAATGTGTCATGTTTTCTGTGTGCTTCCTTTTTAGGACTTGAAGAAACTTATGGAAATATGTCATTTGTTCCCCTTTGATCACTGGTAACACCATCACCTAACCCTTATCATCAATTAAGCAAGCTCTGTGCAGAAAACTTTTGTGTGTGTGATCATCTTATGGGTAGGTGGTGCCTACTCTGAGGCTGTTCGGGTTTGGTTGCCTGATTTTCTGTCAACCTACTACATCAATAATATTAATGGAAAATTTGTAAGCAGAAATCTAGATGATATTAGAACATATACCAGGGCATTTCATTTAAGTTTACATTCACTGATCTTTAGGGTTAAAGATCTGTATGTGTTGATGTTTTCGTCAGTTCTTATTGCAGTATGTTAGCAATAACTCCTTAATGTCTATGAAAAGTCTTTCCTAGTTTTCCTAGTTTTAAATATGGAAGTCTAGAGCAGTACTTTTCTGAAATTATATCGATCTATGTCAGTTGCTTTCTTGTGTGCACTGAAGAAACAGTGTATGATTTTTTCCCCTCCTTGTTGGATTACTAATACTTGTTAAGGGTTTCTGTAGCATAACCTGTATGTCAGAATGCTTAGGTGTACATATTCTGAACACTTTTTTAACTAATAGCAACTAAACCTGGTGAAAAATACACATACATGGGACTTTATTTTTTATTTTATTCTCATGAAAAGTGTTTTTTTTTAAAAAAAAAAAAAAGCATTGAGAAACATGTGACCAAATGTATTGTGCAGGTGTTGGCAGTTGTGGGGTTTCTAGGGTGCCTTCTGTGGGAAAAGGCCAGGGACTGTCCCTTGCAGACCACAAACTAATTCTAGGCAGCCCTGGAAGACACATCACAGGACATAGATGAGCCTATCAGCCAAGTGTGGCACCTCTGTGAAGATGTATTTAAGGAAGGGCAGAATACAGTAGACAGAGAAACAAAGAGGGAACAAAAAGAGGGAGAAACAGCTAATGGAACAGCAAGGTCAAAGAAGGAGGTGCTCCAAGTGTCAGACTGGAGATTCTGTGCAGCCCATGGAGGACCAATGGAGGAGCACATGGAAATTCCTAAAGGAACTGTGTACCTGTGAAAAACCCTGGCTGGTGCAGATGATAAGAAGAGGAAGAAGTGGCAGAAACTGCTACTCTGTACTGACTGTAGCTCCCCCACTCCCTTATGCTGCTTGGCATGACAATGGAGAGCGAAGGAGTGAAGTCAAGCCTGGGAAAGGGGCAGGAAAGCTGTTCTGTTTATTTTCCTGCTTCTCACTACCTGAATATATCCCAATGGGCAATTTTCCTCAAATCACGTCTGCTTTGCTTGTAACAGTAACTGGTAAGGAATCTCCCTGTCTTTATTTCTACCCACAAGATTTCTTGCCCTATTTTCTCCCTCCGTGCTGCTCAGGAGTAGGAGTTAGTGAGCTGCTGAGTGGGAGTTTGGCTTTTAACCAAGACTTACCAACCACACCAGATGTTATAAATAATTTCAAATTACTTTAAATTTGAAACCAAAATACTTTTTTTTAAAATACATCTTCCTATCACATTCTAGATTACTGTATACTGTCTATCTTAACAGTATTTTTTTTCTCAATCCTTTGCCCACTACTTTTCTGAATCAGCTCTTCCTGCACATTATTTCCGTTATGTTGTTAACTCTTGGCCTCAGGGCAATTCTCCTTATTGTAGTAATTGAGTTGATTGTTTCTGGCTAATGTTAAGCACTGTCTTCAGTGTAGGATCCTATACTAATGCTTAGTTTCTATTTCCATTCTACCTACTGCTGCAAGGCAGAGAAAAAATATTTATCCTTCTACTTCACAACTGAAGAGTAAGGCGTAATCCATATGCTAGTAAGAATTTAATAAACCACGATATATTTTTGTGAAATTTGCATAATATTTTAACTAATTTAAATTACTAAAAACTACCTCAATGGATAGGACTTACTCATGATTTTGGCTCTATATATAATTTTCTGAGACATTTGAATATGAGCCCCTTAATATTCAGAGAATCAAACAGGTCCATTATTCACACAGCTTGGAATAAGATAAAAAACTTGGATTAAGTACATTAAATTTATATTATCATCAAAGGTCAATAACCTTTAACCAGCTATTTTAAATTCATTTACTCCTCAGAAAATAAATTTCTAAAAACAAAAAGAAAACTTTGGAGAAAAGCAATCTATATTTTCTTGTAGATATGTTACTTAAATGCAGCCATTCTTAAAAAAAAAAAAATCACAAAAGATTGTTTCATTTTGGTTTTGTAATAATCTGCTTTTGCATAAACTCTTAGTCTAAAATGGACATGAAATATACTATTTTGATTTCAGGTGTGTGGAATACTTAAGACAGCTCTTAAAAATAAAAAGAAGAAGTAGGTTTTCTCAAATTAAATAACAAGGGTGATGTTCTTGGAATGCATAGTTATTCTACTGAAAGTTGAAGCCTGAAATACTGGAGGACAAAAGGGAACAACTCTTTTTTGGAAACAAATTACACAGTGAATGTATCAACTCTTGTCACTTGTCAAATACGAAACCAAGAAATATCTGTCACTCATGTGTAGTTTGAGTCATCTAATCCACTTTACAACTAAATCAAGAATGGAAGTAAACAAAAATTTTGCAATCTTCAAAGCATTTAATATTTAAAACAGCCTAAAAAACAAGATGGAAACACAAGGATCATAAGCCATAATCAGAGTTTCACTGACATGTTTCTAGAGTAAAACATTCTGCCTCTAAAACCAAAGTAATTAAAATTTGGTATTTTTTCATTGCATTAATACCACAAAAGCTTTTACTTAAAACATAAAGCTGATAGTAATCTAAGTAGAGGTTATGGAACGTGCTAGGTGGACCTTTTCAATGAGTCCAATAATCAACCAGGTTGATTTGTAGACCAAATTTTTAACACTTCCTAATATTTTAATTTTACCTCGAGAGGGAGATACTTCCTGGAGTTAAACAATGAAAGTACAAGAGATTACAGGTGTAAGTTGTAACAAAGAAAATGTCAAATGAAAATAAGAAGGAAAAAAAAAATGAAAAAATGACATGAAGATGGCTTAGTACTGGTATGCGAGCACTAGAATGGGAGCCCTGAGAGATCACAGAATCTCCAGCCTCCATGGCCCTGAGTAACCTGGGTTATGATCAGTTGGCCTTGCCTTGGAAGGAAATTGCAGCAAACGATGTCCCCATCTTACTCTCCCAAGTCCTTAAATGTCAAAACTTTCTTTTCATAGCAAAACAAGATGACTAGTAACATGCAAAGCCAATGATAACTTGGTACAGGACAAATTTAAGTGTTTATCAGTGTTTTCCTAGTGGCTGATCAAATGAATATAGATATATTCAAATATAGGCCTGTACACATAAATATTATAACCTTAAATTGAATCCCATCCTATGTAGCAGATTTCAAACATTTCAGTCAGCCAGTCTTGGCTCCCTTCTTAGCATTTGGAAAGAAGCATGCAGCTCAGATGACAACTCAGATAACCCATTACAGGCATGTACCTTGGAAGCATCTCTTTTGTGCTAAGGAGGACTTACTATAGAGTGACTACAAGACATTTAATTCAGACAAATCAACTCAAATAAAGTCCTGGAGCTCAAGAGCACACTAGGCTTCTGAGTGCTCCTGGGACATGATCAATTATCATACAGTTAATCTATTTCCACCATTTCCCTAAATATGATATTCGATGTTGTATTCAGCCTAGGCAATTAAAAGTAATTAATACATTTTCAGACCGCTTTATTCCTTCCAAGGTTTTCCTTCTCAATTATTATAACCATGGTAGGCTATAGTAATATTTCAGAAGATAACTAATTCCATTTTAAAAACTAGATGCAAAATAAAGGTACTTTGAGCCACCTACTGTTACAAGAATAGTAACAGACCAAAAAAAGTTAATGGGCATTTTGTCATTGATCACCCAAAGGTCAGGATTTCATGCAATATTGCAGTTAAGGGTAAGGATCTATCCTAGCAGTCTAAAACTAAGATTGATAAACTACTATTTGTCAACTTCAGTTCTTATTATTCAGCAGAAACAAACACTCCTGGAAGTCAGTTCTCCTCACCTAGTCAGCTTAGGAAGAGCTAAAATGATACCCGCATTTCCTGTTTCTCTCTATTATCCAAAAGAAAAGGTCTGGATGATTACCTCAGGCTTAGTTAACTAAAGTTAGTAGAGTAGATGCAGAGCATAATTCACATGTGAAATTAAACAAAATGTAAATCCTGGTCCTTATACTGTTAAATTAGTTGTTTTATAGCCTTCTGCATCACTGCAGTTTTTCTGCTTTGAATTCACATTCTAGCATCTTTATATGAATGGGCAAAAGCATATCTGACAATGACCACTACCACTAACCTTTGTTAGCTGTTCCAATCTAAAAGCACTGATAACTTCTGTGATTCCAAGGCATCTTCTCCCTCTTAATTTCTAAACTAATATAGTTCCACTGGCTTCAGTGCTGACTTTCCTCAAATTAAAATCCATCCTTTTCAGCTTAATGTCATGTTCAACAAAAACATTCAAGAAGCTGAAGAGCTGACTTACCGTTTTCTTCCAAGTACATCAGAAGGATGCTGCTAGATTCAGTCCCTTCTATGGCATAATCAAGTGCAATGTTTCCATTAACATCCTGCAGCAGCACATTTGCTCCAGCCTGCAAACAGGAATTTAAAACATTTTAGGATTTAGTAGGGAAATCTCAAAATGCTACTGGAGTTCTGATACATTCCCATTCACAAACATTTCAAAGTTGGGCTTCTTAGAAAGCAGGTTGGTTATGACCTGCAATGAAATCAAACAAAACCACACAAAAAAACCACAAATTGAAAATACAGGACTCTTGAATGTCAAAAAAGGCTGGCCTTGCTTGGGACAGTTGGCGTGGTTGCCACCCTAGTTGTCCAGCCTGCCTTTACTGCACAGTTGTCTGAGTTGCTCATCAGTGCATTTCAAAACCACTGCCATTTGCAGCACAGCATTTTAAAGTCAACTGTCACGCATTACAATCTGTCTTAGAGCACTACCCAGCCAACACCAGTGGTTCCAAAGGTGACAAGCAGCACTGACACTCATACAGTAAGGGGTGGGAAGACAGCTGGTAGGAGTAACCTTGTCAGCTGGCCCAACCTCTTTATGGCCTCATCCATCAATCCAACCTCAAACAGAACGATCCCTTGTGAAATAAAATTTCCATTTGTCCCCAACTGGTGACAATGAATGTGAGCTTGATGATTTTAAGTGTTGTTCCTAAAGGAGCCAACCTGACATTTCCATAATTTTAATTCAAAATTCAACATAAAGGAGACACAATGAAAAGGAGCTATCAGAAAGGGAAAGGGGTGGGCGGGATGGGTACAGTTGTATGAGAAGTTTTAAAAGAAACTACCAGTACCATAAGAAAACTTCTATTTTCTATAGTAAGCATTGTTGGTGTAAGAATTTGACCTGTAAAGGGAAATTGTATTTATTTTTATTTTTTTTAAAGAAATCTCTGATTTTATCCTTTAAAATATAAAAAATGTCTGGGGGACATAAAAGTTTACATTACACTGAAATGTCATGTATCTTCCTTAAGAGGCCATAACTTTAATTATTTTCAAATGTTCTCTCTATGGCTTTTAACTGCAAGGAATTATGAAATAAGAGTGACCTCTGATAAATTTAATTACTTTTCTTACAAGCTTGTATGATAAAAAGTTGAACTAATAAAAATGAGGGGCACCAAGGACAGCCTTTCTTAAAACCACAGCATCAGAGGTCAAGTGTAACAAGGAATTATTAATAGAAGGTATGACTGCTGCTTCCAGCTTATGCGGTCAGTGCTGTTTTTAAGAAAAATTCATAATGGGCTCAGCTCCTGGCTCAGAGTGATACATGACATGAAAAAACAGCAAATTCATGTGGGCTTCATGTCATGGAGGTGTTGAAGGTGGACTGCTTGTCTGAGGGGATTTCCTGGGTTCCCATCATAGTGATGAAGGGACGGACAGGCATCAAAGAATGATTCACTTCGGCCATCTCAAACAACTCAGATACCTTGCTAGACCAGATCCCATACAGCAACATAACCTATCCTGCTACAAAGTATACTCTTTTCTTTCAGTGCTTCTCTGACTGTAAGTGGAACCTATACAGCAAATTTAGATTAGATATGTATCATTCAAATTGCTAAACAAGATTAGATAAGAAGAGTTGAAGCTCATGCTTAGTGAAAAGGAATGGAAGGATACTTATAAGAAAAGATGTTTACAAGGTATAAAATGTTATATCCATCATAGTGCAATGAAAATAAATTTCTCCTTGCCTGTCCTGCCAGAAAAATTAAAAAGTTTATTAAAAAATCAAACAAAGGATGGATTTTAGCATCGCAATATCTTTGCAGGACAACTTAACCACTATTCATTGCACTTGTTCCACTACCAGAAAGCACAGGTTTTGTTTAGTTTGCTTTCTGCACACTAACCCATGAATTTGCTGGCAATGATAGAACCAAGGAAGCAACAACACATTTTTCTATCTAGTTGATTTGCATATAATAAAAAAACCCACGAAATCTTGAAGGTACTTGTCCTTTCCTGCATGTTAATAATCTCCAAGCAATGTCAGCAGAAGGTCAGGAGGATAATAATAAAACAAATCTACATAGATTTTCTTCCTTGTTCAGTTAAGAAGCAGCTGTTCTCAGTTCAAAAGCATGTTTTCCTTCCAACTCATTCCAACAGCAGATTTTCTGTAGGCAGGACATTATTTCACAGAAATAACAATTTAGCTACTAGAAGAGCTGGGAAAAAACAAATTAGGTTTTTAATTATTAAAATTACGAGTCCTCTGCTGACAATTCCCCTACCTGCTCCTACCCTAATTCATATCTACCTGCTTAGTAGGAAGCAAACGTGACACACACAAGCTGAGTTACTACTTTTCTCCTTTTGGGTATAGAACAATCTAGAAACTATTCCAGTATATCTAAATAGCATCTCTCAGAATGCTGATTGCAGTCTTAATACTTTTATTTTAACTTTTTCCACATTAATCATGGAGGAAATATTTTTCCATGTAGCATGGAAGATTCTTAAGATATTTGGGGCCTCGCTAATCAATTTCTATCAACTCCAGAGTATAGCAAGGATTCCTGTTCCAGAATAAAAGGTCAAAAGAATCCCATGAAAAAGCCAGTTCTCTACCCCTGAGCAGATTCAGGACTAGGAGCCTACCATGCAGCTTACCTAATTCTATATCTTTACTTTTATTCTTCCGCCCCCTGGCCTTGATGGAGAACAGAAGGGGGATCACAAATGTTTATAAACTGTCTATAAAGATATGTAAGTTGTATTATAGTCCATGTCATACAGTACAATGACCTCAAAGCTGCTCTACTTCTGTTTTGGCTTAAATTACCTTTAATGTAGTCTGCCAAAAGGAAAGAAAAAAAAAGACAACATCTTCCCTTTATGTAAGACAGGAATGGGACTGATAGAAAACCATTCCCCAAAGAGGAATGAGTATCTGCTACACAGTTAATCCTAGCAGCCTCTTTTGTTTTATATATCTCAAAGGAAAACAAATAAATCAACGTTTCAACAACACAAAGGCAACGTTTCACAAGCCTTTTCTTCATCTTTTTTAGGGCAGTTTCCATCACTGCAGCCTGAGGGGACACACCTGATCTTTGATGAAATGGGAATTTCAGTAAGTCAAGACTGATGACGTGAGCTTCAAAGTAATATGTTTTACAAACTGTAACTTCTCTCAGGCAGTTAAGCTACAATAATGGATACCAGACCTAGGCATAACAGGTTTTACTCAGTAAATTCTTCTTTATTGAAACCTGAATTTGTAAAAGCATTGAAGAAATGCAAACAGCAGTCTCATCATGTAGGAATTTCCAAACTGAAACTTTTTTTTTTCCTTTCTTTTCAGAAAGGAAATTGTCTTTTAGCAAAATATTCTGACATACAGCAATTCCTAAGCAAATTCTGTGGATCACAAATCAAAAGAACAACTGAAAAGATCAAACTGCATCTATCATGCTTGCAATTCAATACACTAATATACGTTCCACGAATGCCTTACATGGGCTTGTATAGCTACAGAGAAAAAAAAGTGAAAAAATCATCCTGCACAGCTGCTTTTCTTCATAGTAGGGCATCATATTAAGGCGAATTCATGAAAACAAATTCTCCCTTAATATAAATGGAAAAACCTTTCACTTCATTTTAAAGACCCTTGCAGATAGCACAGCTCAGTAGGCTGGGCTGGCCCAGTGCACCAGCTACAGGACATTTTTCTGTAACCTTGAGACAATGGTTACCTGTAGCTCCTTTGAGTTCCCACCTTGCACAGAGGAAAGATACTGTTGATCAGCTGTCTGCAATCTTTGTTCTATTTCAGGACTTTAAACTCAGTAGGAGTTGCTACTGTCTGTAAACCCACGCCTGCCATGTTAACAACACTATTCTTTCAAAAGAAGTAGGAACTGTCTCCCATTTGGATGAGCTTAACTTGCAATATAAGTAAAGGTTTGGATTCATTTTCAACATGCCTGATCCCACATCATAAAAACACAAACATGAAGCTCAATCTCTTATGTCTGTGACAACACCCACTACAGAAGTCACGCTGAATACAGAGTCTTGCAAGTGCCCTCTGGGCACAAAAAATAAACTGGGGAGATGGCATATCTCAAAAAAAACATTTTAGAGGGAATCAGGAGATAACTCAGTGCTGAAAATTTTATGTCGATTCACTTACACAATTGTTAATATATATGTTTTTGTATTAATATAACTTTATGCTATGCCATTACTGCTTACTTTTTCCCCTTGTAGCTACATGCTAAACCAGTCACAGAAGTTGGAAATCCACCCATCCTTGTGTAAGTAGAGTATTTCAGTTGCCATGTAGATACAAGTTCTTTAATGCATGGCACTTGTCAGTTCAACATTGTGGAATGGGCTCCAGAATGTGTATATGCAAATTAACTCTTGGTCAAAACAGAATTATTTTTTTAGAATCTAGAAATTAAACAATGTACATAAAGAACATTGTAGTGTTCCAAAAATCCCAGACAACTTAACCTCTGCAACACATTGGTTAAGAAAGGATAAAAAATGTGCCAATTGTGGAATCAAATGTGGCATCGTTATAAAAAGCAGCATATAGATGTAGACATAAAAGATCACCAATGCCTACAGAAATATCCAATTGTATTTGAAAACATACTTCTTCATCGTGGAATTAATTCACACAAATAATAAAATATAATAAATCAACAAATTATAATAATAAAAACATAATAATAAAAATAGCACTTTAAAATCATCAAAGTTCCACAACCGTTTTGATTTAATCCATGAATAAGGCATTTTTTTCCTTAACGTAATAGAACATAGGCAATCTCAGTTCACAGGAAACAGTTACAGTAGAGTTAAAAAAAAAAGCCAACAAACCACAAACCCTGTCACGGCACATATTGCAGATTGCTTGACAGGCATAGCCTGTTCAACTAATGCATTCAGAAGATAAAAGAATTAGCTCTGATGACTGAAAACTAAAGACCAACATTTTCCCATCTGTTTGTGCACCACGGGGACTTAAATTCCACCCATCAGCTGGAAGGCATGTAAAAAGCAAATAAAATCCCACTCAGTTCCA